CTACACGACATTTTTACCACAATTGTTACAATGTAAGATAAGAAGAGATGAAAGAGAAGTGTGGGATAAAATGGGTAATTTGATATACAGATAGAAAGAAAAAATTAATTGTAAAAAGTATTGTAAGAATTTGTTGTTTGTCATTACTAGTAAAATATATGACATGACATCCGGCCTTAGCTGCTCTGATATCTCAAATGCATACAAATTCAGAACATCGAAAATACAAGGGGCCAAATTGATACGTACTTTTTTTGCCAAATCTTCATAAACACTGGCAATATGATTGGTTGGATAATTTACCCGGGAACTGCAAGATAATAAACACACAAAAGTCAGAGAGACGGAGACTTACTTCTCCCAAAATAAATCGGAAAGACAATGGAAAATTGGTAGACGATCCGAGTTATCTAAATCAAAGAATCTGAGCCGTATTAACCAGTCATGCTTACCCTGGCATAGGAAGGATGACATCATCAATTGTGTAAGATCCTGAATTAAGATCTTCAGCATCGACAGCCTGTCATACAAATTAAACCCACTTTAAATTGTCTAGCTTATTTCGGAACACCATTCACAACTTTGGTTGTTCCTTGTTGGGTAATTCTTTTTTGTTCTAATTGATGAATTATCCTTCCTTAGTTGTACTTCCCTTCGTTTCTCCTAAATGAAAATCTTTTTTAAAAACAAAAAAAAGTGTTCATCATATAATTCTTTGAAATCATCTTTTCATCTAAATTCTTTTCTTGAAAAATAACTTCAATTTCATACATTCTTCTTGAACTTTCATTCTCACAATAATTACTATGTATAAAATGAACAAAAATAACCGTGACCAAATATCCGTTCATAGAAGTAAATTCATGCCTTCATATTATATCGAGTGTGCAGTAGACTCTGAATAGAATCAATAGATGGATGAGAAATATATGTCATGACATTTCTGAAACTACATTTCAGTAGAGTAATAGCAGACCTGTGCAACAGGGAAAATCAAAAGACTAACCTTGACATCACTCTTTATTTCTTCATGAACATCTTCTAAGACTTCATCGTTATTAGAATCATACCTATCACCGCAGTCTTCAGCATATTCAGATCCAACGAGCTCTGTAACCTTTCCAGTAGAATTTTCTTTACAATATACCAAGTCCCCTAATACAAGTTCAGTTCCTGCCTCACAGTAGAATGACATTCAATTTAATAAATGAATATTTTGACTTCAACTATCATATTAAAGATAATTGATGGTAAGGATAGTATGGAATGGGTATTGGATATCAAAAACAGTCAGGAATTCAGGAGATGTGACATTAGAAGTTTTTTGCCAGAGAAAGCAAGACAGATGAAGAAATTCATTCATCACAAATTACAACTTACCATATTTTTGCACCCTCTTACTTGCAGCATGGTTCCACAAATAGCTTTGGTAACTATGTACATACCTAAAAAAGAGTAACAGAACTATAGAGTGAATATTTATCCTTCAAATATACAATCTTGAATAATATATTAAATCTTTTATTTGTGTACAAAGCAACTTGTCTTTACAAATGAAACAAAAGAAAACCATCAGATAGACAGCATAAATAGCCCACTTTAGAGCTTCTGCAAAAATTTCTGTTGTATCTTCCTAGCTTTTAAATGACATTCATTTGTATTTGTGTTAACTTCACAGATTTGTCTACTGCAAAACCTTTCCTCATTATCTGGATACTGTGTCAAAAGCAGAGATTTAGAACTAAGCCACCAATTTTATTTTGTAATAATGAAGCCTACCAAGTTGAATAATAGTATTTGGTGAATGACTTGAGTGAAAAGCACTCAGCAGGCTGTATAGTTAAAATAGTAGTAAAGGGCAGTGAATAAAATTCACTAACTGGAGCATGAATCTGAATATGTAACCTAGACTTTACATGCTATTCATAAGACACCGTTTCCAACACTTCCCCTCAAGATGGAGAATATAAGTTGAGAGCTCCAATCTTGGAACAAATAAACTAAATTTTAGGCCCTGTTAGAGACTTTGTGAAGATGTCTGCTAATTGATCATTAGAACTAACAGATTCAGTGATGAGTTCTTTGGGGGGAAACTTTTCCCAAACAAAATGACAATACTTTCAATGTGCCTAGTTCCTTCATAAAATATTGGAATGGAGGCTATATAAAAATCTGCCTAATTATCACAACATAATTTCATTTGTTGGATGTCTCCAAGCTTCAATTCTTGAAGGGGATGCTTAATCCAAATGTGTTCACAAGTATTTGTAGCCAAAGCCCTATACTCTGGTTATGCGCTACAAGTATTTGTAGCCAAAGCCCTATACTCTGAAATGAAATAGCAGTCACTGGCTGGAGAATAACAATGATTTCCGCAAGAAACATACATTTGATAACCTGAGGAGAAAGCTTGTCCAAACCTAGAGAGTGATTATGAACAAAACAAGTACAACCAAAAACAGGAGGATTAACATGAAACAATGGATCATTAGGAAATATAAAATAAGGAATTTATTGTTAAGAGCAGAGGAAGGCATTCCACTAATTGGTAAACAGTGTTTATTTGAATCTGTGTAATACCAACATGAGATCTTTACTTATACACAAGATCAGAAAAAATTAAGGATACAAAGAATAAATCAATCCCTAATTTCTAGCAATGTATACATTACAATTTTGACGAACATGGATGACCTAATCGTTCATGAAGTAGGTTTTGGAGACTCAATTGCATTACAAGTTAAAGGAGTTGATTAAAATTAATGAAGACCATGTGATTCATGTCCCAAACCAATTAACTGACTTATCCACATTCCTATATGGAAAAAAGAAGCAACATTAAAGGTTACTAAGCAGTTTAGACTGTGAGTAAGTTGACTATGGGAGACCAAATTAAAAGGATTAAGGACAAATATAAATAAATCTTAGAATTCGGTCTTAGGGCCTAACTCAACAACACAAAATCAACTTGTAAGTGGAGGACTATTCAAGCTCTATTTAAGTCATCTCTAGTTGATATTAGACTATACCATCACTCTTGAGGTTGCAATTAAGGAAACCCCCAAAGAGGTAGCAACTAAAGCAGGCTAGAGGTGATTGCTTAAGGTTGATTTTTCCAACACTTCCCCTCATGCATCACGCCCAGGACTACTGGCCTAGAGCGTGGAAAATGCAGGTGGCTCAACAAAGGATTTAGGACATTGGCAATAAAATGGGAGGAGAGCAAAATAAAAATCCATCCCAGCATAAAATTGACATGTGCAATAAACTTCAATCATACAATTATAAAATCCCCAATTGTAACAACACTATAGCCTTGATATGACATTTCTATAGTAACAAAGGACATTACTGCTGACATAGCATGTGTGATGGGTGAAGTCCATAGTATGCAACAACAATTAAGCATGTTTTGTTTCAATTATTTTATGCTTAGAAAAAGCTCCAGCCAAAATTTCACTCTAGAATATTTTTATTACAAGTCTTTCTAAAAACAAAATAAGATAATCTAAACAAGATCAAGGGAATATGTGAAATTTCACATTGTGAACTTGACGTGTACCAAATTTTCACATAAAATTATGCGAAATTCAAAATCAGGTATATGTTAAAATTGAAATCTAGAGAAAGAAAAGGATCAAAATAAATGAAAATTTAATTATATGAAAAAAACCTTTCTTATTCTTCAAGAAAGAACAATTTAAATATAAGCATACTAGTACTATGCAGTGTCCAAAGAAAAGAGATTGATGAAGTTCTGTAACATGAGATGATGCTAAAACTGAGGAGTAATAAAAATTAACTTTGGTACTACATAGTTACTCCAACTAACAAAAATTACTAGTAGTAACAGTGTAACACCACTTTAGCCAAAAATTTAAAAACATTAATATCATCAGATAATTATAACTCACAACATTCTCAGAGTCCTTGGAATACTTTTCAAAGCCTGCAAATAATTTCCAGGAGACATTTTTAAAGTTTGCAGCTGCAGAAGATTTGTTGACAAAAACATGGTTATGACATCATCCATGGATTAAATATAGTGGGTAAACAAAAAAAATTAGCTTCATTCTCACACCAACTGTCTAATCCAAAAATCATTTTCATTTGAAGCTTACCACAGCCCTTTCTGCGACCATGTATCGAGGTAACTGCTTAAGTGTCCCAACAACATCGTTACTTTCTTTATAGTACTTGCGTGCCTTGGCTATTGCGTTTCTTTGTATTTAAATAACAATGTTATGAAGAATAACAGTAATCAATATGGAATTTTTAATTATCAGTACACAATTAATCAATCAATTAAAGACATTATCCACAAAATATAATAGAAACAGTGAAAAGGATATCTCCATCTCTTGGATCAAGGATCAGGTCTACAGCAAGTCTCCATTCCCCTCGGAGTAATGCAGCTCCAATGAGGTGAGTTGGCACGGAACCACTTCCAAAACGCTGAGAAGTGAGCACAATCACATACAAATAAGTTGCTTGCAAAGCAAAAATGATAAATAAAATAATCTTAAAATAGACAGACTATTAGAAATGGACTAGGCCTAATTCAATCTCAAAAGCTAGATCACGGGTTAAGGATTGCCACATCTTGCAGGGAGTATTCTGTCCATATTCCCTAGCTAATGTGTGATATCTCAAACACACCCCTCACGCTCAAAATTGGACATCTAGAGTGCAAAGTTTGCATGACTAGATATTCGTGGGTAGCTTAATAGTAAGACTGAATAGAGATGGAAGGGGCTAAACTCACTCACAAGAGCTACCACGGAAAAGGATTGCCAAGTCTTATACGGAGCATTTTATAGCCATATTTCTAACCAATATGGGGCATTTAACAGTCTAAAACACCATGTTGTTACTTAATGAAATGCTTCAAAAGGGACGAAAACCAGGAAGAGACAAAATGTAAAACAAGAGTTTACATTTAAATCAAGTTTTGGACTTGCATAAAATTTTAATAGAAAAGAATTCTCATCAAGAAATGGGGAAATGAAGTTGGGTATACTTGTCAAGCATGTTTAAGCTTCTTATGTCTTTAGTGAAAGCTGTTGGGGAGACTTTCAGTACATGGGATGGGATGGATCCAACTCTTGGATCTCCTGCCAATTCCATTTAGGATCCCACTCTTGAATCTAGCTAATACTCGTCTGAGCCGATCACCAGTCACTTGGTCGAACTATCGGCTCTGATACCAATGTTGGGGAGTCCTTAACATCGGGGAGCACTCTACAATGGGTAGTGAGTAAGTCACACAAGTGAATTTGACACCACAACATATCCTAAAACCTTAAGGCATTAGGTAGGTGGATCTTTCTCACTTATATATTACTCAACATGCCCAACTTTAACCAATGTGGGACTTTACTTCACACTTGAACTCCAACAAAAGCCAACACCAAAACAAAACAAAACTGTTGCCAAGTTGAAATTTAGATGTAAGCAACATAATAATAATTGCTTAGACAACGTATGTATGTTATCCCAAAAAAAAAAAACAAAACAACAAAACATAAGTTTGTATTAGTGTATTACAACTACATAGGGATGGCAAATGTTGGACACAATGAAACTTCAAGAGAATTTTTCATATATAATCTGAAAAAAGAATATGCCAGCATCCAAGAGGCAAATTTTGCCAACTCTTACAAATATAACAGGGAAATGGGAAAATGATTAATACTACTAAATGATTAATGATGTATTAATTTAATGGGTTCACAGCTTCACACAGCATCCTACTGCATAGGATAATTTCAAAATAGTATACAGGGCAGGCCACATGCCCCCAACCCCCTGGCTTGTTCAGGAAGTTGACCTCTAACTAACACAAGGTAGCTATCCAATTGAATGTTATCACAACAAAACCAAGAAAAATGTAATCAGAGACGAAAAAGACATGCATATTCCCTCAGAGGGGAAGAGAGTGCAAGTGGACTTAGAAAATACCTGTAGGCCAAAGTAGTTAATGAAGCCATGCTTTCCTAAGGCCTCTGCAGATGCTTTTATGGTATCTTCAGAATCTGCAACAATGCCTCTGAGAAAATATGTAAATGCTATGGATACAAATATAAGGCTGCAGTTATATCAACAATCATAAATAATCCTAATTGCAAGAGATACTAGATTACTAGTTCAACAGAGGAGAAATGAATTCATGCATAGATAACACCCTCACCGCAATGTGATTGTAAATCGATTTCCCAAGAGCTGGCCAAGACAAAGTGCTTCCTTAACATAACTGCACAGTAGTAAGTTTACAGTTATGATTCACCAAAAGACTGATAAGAAGGAATGTCAACCATTCAAAATTCAATCACCTTACCAGAAATCACCCAGTTTAATTCCAAACAACCTCTTGTTAAGGGAAGCTAGCCTACTTGCTCGCTGCTTGTAAACAGTAACCTAGATACAAAACAAATACTAAAAACCAATTGAAGTATCTATCTCCAAATGAATACTAATACAAATTCTGGAAAATGAAGAAAGAATTTAATGTTTAATGTAAAATAAGAAAAGTGAATATCACCCTTTGGGTCGTGACAGCACGCTTGTCCTTTGTACCCGAAAATCCAAATGATTTTGGCTGCCAGTTAACAATCAATCAGTTAAAACTGTAAAGTGGAAAACTCAGCAAGCTTATCCAGAAATCAATAATAATATTAGCGGATTGCATTTATTTTCATTCTTGAGGGTAGGGAGGGAGGAGTTCAGGAGCAGGCAAGACATAATGCAAAAAAACCCAATTTCCTTCCCATCAATAATCACAACTACACAAGTTAAGCTGCAGCTAAGACATAAATGGGGATAAAACACTAAACCCTAAATCTCCAGGTTGAAACAAAAGGTTATACAGAGGCATAAATATGTCAAGTTAAAATTCCTAAATTAAATAATATGGCAAATAGATTCAATTATCACAAATGTCTCAGTTCCGGAATGCATTTTGATAACCAGGAAAAAGGAAATCATCACATATAAAAACAAACATATCCAACAATGAACAAGACAGACCTGAATGCCAAGCATATTTCCAATAACCCCCAAAGCTTCTTGGGTATCCTTGTTCTCCTTGTAAAGATAAAACCTTGAAATTGTATTGGAAGAAAGAAAGTTGATAACAATGAGCAATTTTAACTAATACATATAAAGAATGGGAAAATGATATGACCAAATAAAAAATGCAACTAAGAGTGGCTATCACTTTGTGACAATGTCTGAATAAATTACAATTTAATACAGCCAAAAGTCTCCATAAATTTCAATGGTTTTGGATATTTAACATTCAACAAGTGATTATTTCTACATTTTTTTTATTCTTTTACTTCTTCTACATAACACTACAGCAAGTTGACAAAATGGTCCTGTTGACTGCACTGAAATGGAAGACAATGTGCATTGCTTAATTTATATTTTATAAAACAAAATGTGTGAGCAGTCTTACCTAAGGAACTTGCCAACATTTTCTGGCCAATCTTCTGAACCTCGGCTGTCAAAGGGCTTATCACCTCTTTCTTTGCGCTTCTTAGAGTTTTTTCCTTTGTTGTTGGGTTCAGCAGAATTTAATCTCACACGGATACATTTTGATGATGCGTCAGGTCCATCAACTACATCAGTGACCAGGAACTTAAAGTTTTCCTTAAAGAAGTTATGCATTGCCTGATAGATTTGAGAAGCATAAAATTTTTTAGGTTAGAATTGGCAAAAAAAACTACAAAATTAATTTAGTATGCATGCCACAAAGCGAAAAAGGCTAAATAAAATTATAGTGGCTGGGCGCTGAACTAAAAAAAAAGGCTAAATAAATGAATGAGGTGCAAGTCAAAATCATTCAGTTTGATACTTGGTTTTTTAATCCAAAAACCATACAACTTCTGCAAAAATTCAACCCATTGTAATGAGACTCCCACTTTGACCCAATCTCAAAGTGATTGCTGATATAGACATCTTTTGGACTGTCTTCTGAATCTAACAAAGAGAAAAATAAGCCACAAAACTCGTACCAACCTTTCGATGAGATTTATCAGAATCCGGAGAAAGAACAATAGGAGAGACACTATCTTCTCCACCAGCATTAATTTTACTGATAAATTCCTCCAAAAGAACTGCATCGGACTCCCCAGCAAGAGACTTGAAGGATTCAATCTGAGATGCATAACTTACAACAGCGTCGGATGTGTTGGTTCCATTTTCCTGAAAACTCTGAAACAAGCACACACAATAAAAAATGTCAGATACTGAAATAAAGCGCAAATCAATTTACTAATGAACAAAGATAATTAGAGACCTCTGGCTCCTCTTCAGGGGCATCAAGTGTGGACAATTGAACAACTGTTCCATCTCTGGCCACTTCATTCACAATAAAATCAGAATACCTAAATCAAACTCGACTGAATCAGCAAAAAAACCATTGTTGAATAATGCACTTCAGAAATTCTAATGGGCAAAAAATCCTTAACATCGAAAAAACAAAACCGATGCTAGCTTTCGATTCATGCATGATTTTCAAATTCATTTGTTTTGGTAAGAGAGAGGAGGTGTAGAAAATGAAGAGACCTTTGCTTTAAAATTCCGCGGAAGCCAGGAATGTTGGAAATGAAGCAGGAGATACCCACGTCGTGTTCTTCTACGGTTGTCATCGCCATCACGGTTTTACACAAATGAGCAGTGGTTAGGGTTTTTGTTTAGTTTGGGGTTTTAGAGCAACAGAGCGGGAACTTGCAACCGCTGCTGCATACCTCGCATCACTTGAAATAAACGCAACGTTTTTAAGTTACTGGCTTCATTTGGTTGATAGCACTGTGCCAGTGTTTTTACTTTTGTATACTGACTTCGATTTTATGTATAAAAATATATTTTCATAATTAAATAAAAATGAAATTTTATGATTGAGTTACCAAATTACTTTATTTTCTATTATATTAGAAAATAATAAAAAGTGAAAATCTTATAAATTTGTTAAGTTAGTTAAGAATCATGTCACACATGCAAAAGAGAAAATCCTCACGTACCCTATTACTAGGGAGGAAGTCTATCGTGCCATGACACAAGTGCATGTTGAGAGATATAATTTTTTTTTTTTTTAAGTTAGTTAAGAATCATGTCCCTCTTTTATGTCATGTCAAGAAAATAATTGAATCTTAATTGGAAATAAAAGATTCTTACGATGAATTCAATCTGAGAAAAATAAATTAGACTATGAAGAAATAAGTTAATTAGTAGAGGATTTAGGAGAAATAAAAACATATTAATTGGGAAACAAAAATTGATTTGAACTAGATGGATGAGTTGAAACTTGAAAGTGGAAGTTAGACGAAAAGGTAATTTAAGAAAGATAAAAATGTTGGTTGATTGAGAAAGGTAATATATCTCTCCACTCAATTTATATTTTCAAAATAATTATTAAAAAAACCTGACATGACATTATTTATAAGGTACTCTTTAAAAGATAAAATCCAATAATAATGATAAAAAATAGTGATAAAATTAAATATATGCATAATAAAATTTAAAATTAATTATAATATTCATCATTCATTTTTTAATTAATGATTATTATTGTATTTTATTTTTAAAAATATTTTTTATTTGAAAAGAGTTAAATACTATTTATAAACACGTGTTCACTCAAACCAAGTAATTTAATTTAAATATAATAAATAAATATTAAAATTTTTAGTTTTTTTTTAAAAAAATATTAATTTTTTTCATAGTAGTTTTTCATTCTATATAATAAAAATTTAAACATATTAGGAAAGTATTAGTAGTTATAAAAATATGCTTTATTTTCTTTATGAGAATAAAAACATTATTAATCTTGTCAATTAGTATTATAAAATTAAAAATATAAATATTAGATATAAATGATACACAATACAAATATAATAGAAGAAGATTGATAAAAAAAATATGTTATATAAATATGAGTATTTATTATCATTTACGTAACATATGTAACATATATAAATAAAAATAAAAAAATAGCACACAAAAAATCTTTATTTGTACCTATTTTTATAGGTTATTAATGTTTATTTTATTAGTGAAGGTTAATTTAAAGGTATGGACCAAATGTCTCTATTTGAGAATAGAGAATTAAAATTGTGAATTGATGAGAATAGAATAATTAAAAGAACAATTTATACATTTTAAATAAATTAAATTATAAGTTAATAGTTATATTATAATATAAATAATATATAAAAAAATAATTAATAAGAATGAATTTATAAAAAATATATAATTATATTTTAAATTAAACATATAATTTTAAGTTTATTACTTAATTATGGTTATAATTTAAATTATTTAATTATTAAAATAATTAATTTGTATTTTTAATTTTTATAAAAATAAAAACTTAACTTAACTTTAATTTATATTATATATATGTGTATATACATATAAATATATTTCTTTGCCGTAAAAAAAATTTAGTAGGGCAAGTACGAAGGCGAGAGTTACATATCCTAACTCAAATCCAAACTCGATACTTTCAAATCCAAGAAAACTTTTATCCAATCAAAATCCAGTTTGAGTCGGATAGGTACTTGTAGGTGTGAGCTTAGTTACCATTAGGAATGACAAGCTGGGTGAATGACTTTTATAAATTATAAAATTAAAATTAGTTATATTTGTTACTTTTTAGTTTACTAAAAAGAGACATTAATGCAAAATCACATATTGAAATTAAGAGATTTGAAGAAGCAAAATTTGTTTGAAAACGGAATATTATTTTAGCATATACAATTATATTATATAAGAGTCATTCACTGGATAGAAAATTTAGTATAACCAAATCACAATTAATGAAAATAGAAACAAATGATTAAAAAAAATTAAATAAAAAAAAACTCTTACCAAAAAAGGTGACACTATAAATAAATAATTTTAAAGAATCAATTCATTAATAATAATTTATGTTATCTATATCATTATATAAGGAGAATATTATCTTTAATAGTTATTTTGGTCCCGGTTTTTATATAAATTTTTTTTTTAATTTTACCTAGAAATCTAAATAATTATTTTTCTTTTAATATCTTATTAATTTCATATCATTTGACTACTAGGATTAGTCTAGTGGTTGGGTGGGGGAAAGTTGGGATAGTTAAAAGTATGAGGACCTAGGTTCAATTCTCATTGCGATCATTTTTGTAATATTTTCTCTTTTTACCAAAAAAAAATCTCAAATCATTTATTTTTTTTAAGTAATCATTCAATTATTTGTAAAATTATTTTTTTTATAAAAAATAAATAAAAATATAAGTGTCTCGAATTCATAATTAGATTAAAAAAAAAGTTATTTTGTGACTCTATATTTAATATAAAAAATTAAAAAGTATGTTATGATTAAAAACAATTATAAAACGTGAAAGAGACAATTATACATAAAGTAGTTAAAGAAACAAATTATTTTAAATAAAATAAACAAATAAAAAGAAAAAAGAGATGAAACCAAAATCAATTATAATGGTATAAGTTCTAAAAGATAAATAATCATAATAAAAATATAAACTAAAAACAGTTAGCAAAATAATTATTCCATTTATTTTTTTTTTGAAAATTTCCTTTATATAATAATAATGTTGATAAAATATAGAAGTGTAGATAGTACATAAGTATAGATAATATAGATTTAAATTATTTATCAAAAATTAAAAATGTTTATTTATTATAAAATTTAATTATATAAAAATTAGTATTTATCTTTACAATGAAAACACAAAAATATCAGTGACATAAAATCCTAAATAATCATACAGTTATTTAAAATTTAAAATTGTCTACCAGCATATAATTTTGTTAATTAAACATCGGTGATTAATATTTATTTTGATGTATAATTCCTGAAGCGGAAGCTGGAGTAGAAGTGCGATCCCAGTGTTTATTAGTATTTTTAATTTCTTTCTTGGTGAGTGGAGTACATACACATAGCCATCGAACAGATCGAAAATCCGTGCATCGATTAGTTGGATCTGCGATGGTTACCAAAACAGAGGAGACTCAACTCAACAGGCTCGAAAATCAGGTCGATAACGGCGGCGGCGGCGCGTGGGACTACGTCTGCCTTGTCAGGAAGCTCAAGGTTCGCCGTTCCGAAAAAGTTCTCAAGCACGGCCTCTCCATCTTGAACGACCCCAAACAACGATCCACTCTCGGCAACGAAGGTTACTTCCCTCACGCCACTGACCTAATTTTTGTTTTTACTCTTCAATTGTGTGATTCTCTTGTTTTTAATTTTACGCGGTGATGTTTGGAGCTTCTAATTGCGCTGTTTTGTTCTGTACCTCACTTCTTTTTTACTGCTATGCTTTAGTTGCAGGTCTACGTTTATTGAATTTGACTTTTGACTAATTTTTGTGCAGAATGGACCTTGTATGAGCAGGTTGCAGTTGCTGCTATGGATTGCCAAAGTCTCGACGTTGCCAAGGTTTCGATCTAAATTGGTTTTTTTTATTCTATTACTTTTTTCGTGTATTTGTAAATTGTATTGAATATAATAAAACAAAATGTAAACTCTTAGCCTCCTTTTGGTGAAATATAGTTGTTGGTATGAAAGTCGCTTGTATTGTAATGATGTAACTCAATCCGGAATCTTATGCACGGGTGAGTGTTATTGGTTGGAAATAGTTGTAGCTTTTATGTTTTATCCTTACTGGATTCTACTTTACTCTCTTGTCACTTGTGTTATGGAGATGCTGGTTATATGCACTTGGAGATTGTTGCTCACGAGTTCTACAGGGAATTATAAACTTCCTTGATGCATTTTGTTTTACTGCTGCATAAATGCATAATACTTGTATTTCATTACTTAACTTGTCAGGTAGTCATCTGCTGTCCTCGATTGTTGTCTGTTTTCTGGGTAGTGTATCGTTTGTTTTAAGTTTGAGTCTCTTTTGGCCCCTTTATTCTCTGTCAGCGGTGGATGGAGAAAAATAACGGCTTTCTGATCTGGCTATATGATATTATTCTTTCAGAATTTATTGTATCATTCTCGTTAAAATTTGGGCAAGATGTTTGATCTTGTTTGCTTTTTTGTAATTTCTGAGTCTGGAAAGTAATATACTGCTGAACTTTTATGGTGTCCATTATTTTCATGTTGCCAAAATTGAGCTTTTTCTGTTTTTGCCTCCTTCACATGCTACAAGAAACCATCTAGTTTGAGATTACGTCTTGAAGTTGATCATATTTTACTTCTATTTCAGGACTGTACAAAGGTTCTTCGGAAGAGATTCCCAGAGAGTAAAAGAGTTGGTAAGTTGATATTTTTAAATTGTCTGTCATTTCTCATGTTTGGATTTGAGTTCGTTAACTAAATAACACTATCTACACAACTCTTCCTGTGTTACTTACTCTACACCTAACTCCATATAAGCTTTAGGGGTGGGTGGTTGGGTCTCGGGTGGTGGATTAAGTTGCAGTACCTGAACTCAGATACACTACCGCCCACTTAATGTTCTGCTTAGGTGCAGATGTAACAGTTGTGTAGGTAACATTACTCTGGCTAAATGTTGGTGACACATGCCTTTTTATTGCCCAGTGATGTGTCTATGCTCCTATATATAGGCCATTGATAGGCTAAGAAACTATTTCTTTTGATGTTGCACTGATTGATCTGACTACATTTTTTTCCTGTCTTGTTTCCCTTACATTTTAAGCGATAGAACTATATGATAATTTTCCAAAAATACTTAACTGTAATGTTTACACTTGCGGATGACTAACTTGATTTGCATTCCATTCTTTCAAAAGGGATGCTATGTAATATAAATACATTACAAAGAAATCCCAATTTGTCTGTGCATGTGCATGCACCTGTTCACTCCAGGAAAAAAATGATTTGAGTTGACTAATTATTGCAGGTAGGCTGGAGGCAATGTTGCTTGAAGCAAAAGGGTCCTGGGAATTGGCAGAAAAGGCTTACACAAGCCTTTTGGAGGATAATCCCCTTGATCAAGTAAACTCACTTAATCTTGTGGGGAAACCAAATAGGGGAACTGTTGCTTAGTTACCCTGTGATGAAACAAAAATCTTATAATAGTGGCTTCTTCTTGTGTTTTGTTACTTTGATTTGATTTAATAACCTTTCAGTCTTACCATTAATTAGGCTAGGTTGCTTGAGTAAACAAAACCAAAAGCTATAGTGTTTATCTTTTTGGTGGTTTTTGATGTTTGTGCAGACCATTCATAAGAGGAGGGTGGCAATGGCAAAGGCACAAGGCAACATTTCTGTAGCTATTGAATGGCTTAATAAATATCTGGAAACGTGAGACAGATGTTAAAGTTTTTGTATTCTTCCAAAACTAAAATAAAAATGTAGTTTCTGATTTACATCAGAAAATAGAGTGTGTATCTGATTTCTTTTTCTCATTTTAACAGATTCATGGCAGATCATGATGCATGGAGAGAACTAGCTGAAATATACGTCTCCCTTCAAATGTTAGATTTTATTCTACCATTTATCTTCCCCTCTGCAACTGTAACAGTTATATTGCTAATTATATAGCTGCCTTTGTTTATTCGGCTTTCCCTTCTTGTGTTAGGTATAAACAAGCAGCATTTTGTTACGAGGAGTTGATATTATCTCAACCTACTGTTCCACTCTACCACTTAGCCTATGCTGATGTAAGTAACTTCTTTATGAAATGTGGTTACTCTATTTTGGTCAAATCAAGTTTTTCTCCTCCTTTCTTTTCTTAGCTCCCATAGTAGTAACAAGGCACAGAAAACATTGCATGCTAGATGTGTATGGGAGTAACATAGCAAGAGTCTTACTTTTTTATTGCACAAGTACGTTTTCTTGACCTATGGCATTTCCAGGTGCTTTATACGCTTGGTGGATTAGAAAACCTCCAAACTGCAAAGAAATACTACGCATCTGCTATTGACTTGACTGGAGGCAAAAATACCAGAGCACTCTTTGGTATATGCTTGGTAAGATCTTCTTTGAGTTTTCTTTGTGTATGAATTGACTATAATTGTTTTAATTTGGAAGTTGATTGAACCTTGCCTTTCTTGGTTAAAATGAAAGTCATTATTTAGTTTTGCTTTGGTAGATTTCAGTTTTTCCTTCATAGATTGTTGATTTTCTCCTTAACAACTTAGGATCCCTGGATTCTTTTTTACGAAACTATTCATTTATATGCCTGAAATGTTAGTTTTGCTCTTGTTCTCCAGTGCACCTCTGCTATTACACAGCTTACAAAAGGGAAAAACAAGGAGGACAAAGAAGGGTCACAGTTGCAATCTCTAGCAGCCAAAGTATTGGAGAAAGAATACAAGCAGAGAGCTCCCGACAAACTTCCTCAACTTACGACTGCCTTAAAGAGTTTAACATTGTCATCATGATGCAGCCTCTCTTAAAGATTATTATTTAGTTACTTTTTGACATTTTCTCAGATTGTTGTCGGCTTGAATCAATATACTTAGTTTTCCTCAGTTATTTTCTTTCCAATATTAAAATGATAATTCATATTGTTCTGCATTTTACCTTCGATAATGAATATTGATTGAAAGACATGTAAAGTTTTAGATGGCCCTGTGGATCTAAATGTGTGTCATAGCTTTCCTAATGCATAGGATGGGGCATACTTTGTTTTTGAACCTTTTTTGTTTCATTGGCTATACAAATTAAGTTAAAGATTATCCCTGGCCCCACGTTTAAGTTAATCATTTTCTTCAGGGTTTCGTTTAGCACTAATTGTAATATCATGCTTTGATGTAGCCCGTTGTATTGCAAATCGATCCCATTGGGGCTACAGAATTTGCACTTTGCAATAGCAGAAAGTCACATGCCGATCACTCAACTTAACCTGATTTTAGCATCAAATATTTGTTCCTTCAACGCGTGTTCTCTTGGATGAACTTATTTTAAAGATTTGTTTTTATAGTTTCTTGATATAGTTCTTGGATTTTTTTTTTTTTTAATTGTTATATTCACACAAGTTTAGGGAACACGCATTTGAGTAACTAACTTAATTACATGTTTATTTGATAATTATTACCCGAATGTTTATATGATAAGCGTTTAATTCAGTAAGCATGTTTTGATAAGTTTATTTAAATATGTAAAACAAAGTTTAGAGGAATACCACAAGTCCCTTTTATAAATTTAAATAAATTTGTAAAAGTTCTTTAAAAAATATGTAGACTCATAGTCAAACTCAAGATGACACCACTTGGCTCCCACTTTGTGCTTCAAAAAGAATGTGCTTAATTGAACTTAACTTTTTTAAAAGAAAAAAATTCAAAATAAGTTTATAAATGATACATATATCTATATTTTGTCATTGAAAAATTGCAGCTAGATACTGTTGTAATGGAAGGGCTTGTACGCAATAAAAACTGAATGTGATTGTTTAAAATTTAAATTGCAGGAGTGATTGGATTTAAACCGCAGGAAGTGAAGTGATCAGTTGTTTTTTGTAGTGAAGCAATGCCAGAAACTCAAGTAATAGTTGAGAAGGCACGAGACATGAGACATGGTGTGTATGGTGAAATTGTCGGAAAGGTTAACGACAGAAGGAGGGAGGAGATTTTAATGATGCATGCATATGGGGCATGAAATATTAAGTTAAAAAACGACCACCTGCTGCTAGTGTGCTACTGCTATATATCTCAAGGTTGAAGAGTGTTGACGTACGAATTGCAGCTTTTTAGGGTCTCCCATCCCAATCCCATGGGGCATGCATCCATGCCAGACGCTATTATGTTGCCTGCAGAGTGCAGACCCACCCTACCTTTTTACTAAAAGTTGCTACTACTTTTGGTCTACTGCTCCTCTTGTCAATTCCATTTCAGTGCACTTGTCATGTGAGTAATCATTTAATACAACTCCATTTTTCATTAAAATATCAAATAGTGATATTATATCTTTAGAAAGTACTGTCTCTTAATGGAAAGTTAAGAACCAACACTATGAAAGATATTGAAATTTATTTAAAGAATTATCTTTTTAATAAATATTTTTTCATACACATTCCGAAATTGAACTTAAGGAATGGACAAGGAAACAATATTATTTATCAATCGAACTACACTATACTGGTAAACAGATATATCTATTCTGTATAATTCAGATGTAACATTTGCCTTCTCTTGCTCTTCGGGTAAAATCCAAATGTTACACTGAAATTATGATTATTTTAATTTAATTTATATGAACAGTCAATATGATATCTAATAACAATTCACTCTTCTGTCATATTATATTACTAAATAAAATGATGCGATGGTAATAACATAATTTTTTTTATAGAATGCCTTAATAAAAAATCTAATTCTATACTTTTTGTTGTAGTAGACCGAGTGTGTTTTTGAAATTTAATTTTGAATGTAACCCGAATCTATCGGATCCCTTCCTTTTATTTATTGCTAGCCCTTAAATTGTTTTCTAGCCCTCAAATTAAAATCGGAGTAGGAATGGATCTTTTCTAATACATTTTTGTTGGATGAGATCTCATATAATTTTTTTTCATAAATTTTACTAGTATAATAAATCTTTACTATAAAGGATTTAAGGATAAAATTTTAACACTTTGAGAATCTCAACAAAAAAAAAAAAAAACAGGAGTAAAGTTGGTGTTTAATTACAGCTACAGTGTCATAGGGAGCGGAAAATGGGAATGTGAGGTCGTGACTCATGCACGTCCTATACGACAAACAAGCCTGAAATAGATTCCCAAAACTAGTGAATTATTTATTCTTCATGATGTCAATTCCAATGAAAATGACTTCATAACTGTCACGTCAATTCACAGATTCCCTCATTTCCGTTGCAATTAATGTCCCATTGTACAATTATATTCTTTGCTCGAGTTGAATATATTCAAAATTTTATGTATTCGTCGACAAATTATATTACCACTTTGTGTCAAATAACTGTGTGCTCCTACTCCTATTCATTCTGTATTCATAAAATAAAATTTAGAAAAATGCCTCCATATCTGGAGATAGGGTAACCCCCGTTAAAAAAAAAATAAAAATTAACCCTTATCTTAGCACCATAGGATTCTTTCTAGTCGTTAAATGGAAAAAAGAAATAAATAGAGCCAGCAACCTGTAATAACTTCATTAACATAGCCTTTATTCCGGTCAATTACTATAGCCTACTCAAAAGACTTTTTTAAGACAAGAAAACCTATAACTCTGTTTCTAAGAAATTGAGGGACACCTTATGTTGGAATATAAATAAAGTCTCGTATGGATAAAATAAGAAGAAAAAAATTATAAAATATATACATACTTCATTGATTAAGAAATCTTTTGGATGATAAGTAAAAATAAATTCATAAGAGACTAAATCTAAAATAGACAATATCTCACTATTATAAAGTTAGATAAATATTAATAAAATAATTCTAATAATGATATTAAAGTTGTCGTTAGTTGAATTCGCTGAGAATCAATAAGTTATAATAAAAAGTAATAAGTGATAATTTTTGTTGAATGAGAGATTAGATCCATTATTTAAGAGAAAGATTGTTAAGATACAAATAAGGTCTCATATCAATAAAATAAGAAGAAAAAAATAACTTGATCAAAAGCAAAATTATAAAAATTTATATTTAAAACAAATAATATCTAACTATTATGAAACTGTGTAAAATTATCTTATAAAAAATAACAAAATTATAATATTCTCTTCTTAATATAAATTTTTTTCTGAGATAAATACGGACAAAATAATCCTTACAATCACTTCATGCTAGATGAAGGATTAAATACATTAAATACATTAAATTACATTACAAGTTGCCAATAACTTAACTATGAAGAACAAACTCCTAAGGGCATTTAACAGGATACTTGACTAGATGATTGACAACCATGATACTTTTGTTAACTGAACATTCCAAGTAACCTCTGCTAGCAGCAGGTATATATATTCAAAAGGCTTTAAAGGTATCCAATTTGGCGATGGCCACAAAAGATGGAAAAAGGTATAGGTGTGGATGACATGCCTTAGAGCGTTAGTACATGTGTGCACGTATGCGTGTTATTATTTATTCATGATTTAAGGAATAAGGTAGTCAACAAAATATTCACATGCCAAGATTAACAACAGTATAAAAAATATTCCGCAGTGCTAAAAAAAATAATGCCAGAGGATCAGCAAAAGTGTGAGGGTTATAGCTTGAGAAGGACTACCATAGTGCTACTGTTTTGACAAAAATATTATGCCAAGAATGAGATAATGAATTCAAATAAGCAATTGTTTAACGTGCAAAGTTCAAAAAAATCTTTGATATGAGATTTGTAACTGAAATTGCAGACATCATCATTGTTAACAAACGGCATGGCCAAAAGAGAATGTTCATATAACATTAGAGGTCAATGAACGGACAATATCTTATCCTGTTTAGCAGCATAAAGATTTTGAATGTGCAATAATGATTCACAAGCCATGGTAGACAGCAGACTGACAATTGCCTTCAGAGAGAGTAAAATAAATTGGTATTTGGCCTACCCGCACATAAATATATTTGGCCAGACTCTCGTATCAAATTTCCTAATTATTATCAGACATCAAAGTGTAGGCCATTCTATTAAGGCAAAAAGTATTTATATTCATACCCCATGCATAGCGCATAAAATAAGTAATCAAGTATAAATCCTCTAATAGCTTCACCGTCTCAGTTCCTGAAATATGGAAGAAACTCTCCAATGGTTGCTAAAAAAATAGTTTTAGCATTCGTTGTAATTTGGTGATCTTACACCCACTCACCACCTTCCTCAGTCCTCTTCAACCTTATCTATGCTAAAAATATTTGTTGTGCCTTCATAGTAATCGTGAATTACCAATTTGGAGTAACAGCCTTACATATTTGATGCAATAAATCCTCGATGCTAACAGATAAAATATATGACAACCCAGAACAGGGAATAGCAAGTATATACTAATAATTAAAAGAGAATAAAAATGTACTTGAATAACACAGAAAGAGGAAAGATACTGTAAACTTTGTAGTTTTAATAATATGAACCAAAAGTTAACACTTGAAGACAAATGTACAACATTTGGGGGGATAAGTCTCCGATCTGTTCAAATGGCTCAGCTAAATTGAAGATATGAATTTAAAAGGGAAAATGAGAGGAACAAAAGGACTCATTTTTACTCAACTATGTTTCAATCACATGGTTGATAAATCAAAATCCACAGGGAGGTCTGTTAGTACTCAATATGTGATGGATTTCTGCATATCTACTGGTTCTTCCAAGCATGCAATATAAGTGAGAAACCAAGACCCTGCAATTTGGTCTCAGGAAATCTCTCAGAGAAAGACCACGCCAAATCAGATGGCGGTTGGCTAGCCCACAACTTGTCCACGGCAGAGAGGCATGTCTTGAACATAAAGACAGCGTCTCCAAGGGATGTACCAAAGAGCCAATTGTGAACATCCCAGAAAACTTCCACAGCAAGGCCATCCACCAGGATGGTATGATTCCCCCTGAACTTCCATCTCAACCGCTTCACTTGCATCACAGTTTTGCTGTCTATGCGAATTACAAGGCTTGGATCACTAACACTTGCAGTGTCACATTCAATCACAAGATCATGAATATGGCCATTGTCACAAAACACAGCCTTGGTACCATACAACTTCTTACCAAAAACGTGTTCTTTCTTGGCAACCAAAACTGCATTGTGGGGTAATGGGTTAGCATTGGTCTTCTTGATAGCTTCTTTCCTCAAATCCCCAAGAAGAAGAACCATTTGTCCATCCACAACAGCTCCTACATAAAATCCCCCCGATGGTTCTGGTCCAGAACCAAATTTAGCCGAAGAAAGATCCCAATACACATCAACTTTACAAGAATGAACCTCAAGACTCTTACAACCTCTCCTCTTGGAGAACCCCCACGGTTTGATATCCACCTTACAAAGACTCTGGCTTGAAGAATCGTCGATCCCAACACTAAGGCTTTGCCCCATCAAATTCTTACTCCATGTGACAGTAATCAGGCAAGTACTACCACCAAGCCTGCATTGATAAACACAAGTAACCACATTCTGGGCACTTTTATTAGCGCTTGAAGACGAAGAATCCGCCACTTGAACACCATTTTCACCAAAACAAGAAGGAAAATCCTTCATCTTTTTTGCATCAATTAGCAAGCTTTTTTCCTCTGGGTTCTTTTAACAAACAGATGGAACCCAGTTTGAAGTGGACAAAAACACTCACTCAAAAACAAGGTGGAACTCACAGAAAGCAAGCTGGGACAACAGACCCTTACCTTAACTTAATCAGAAAAACCCATCAAGCAGTGATTTTGAATACGGAGTTAGAACCCATGAGTCCAAATTGAGAGATAGAGAGCGGGTTCAAGACAAATTTAGAGAATGTAGAGAGTTAAACAGCTCAGACCCCAGAGAGAAGAAGCAGACAAAAAAGCAAATTTTTTTCACTATCAATGTCTCTGCGTTACTAACTATTGAAATTTTTTAAGGAAAAAGAAAACCCAAGAGCCAAAAAGAAGAAGAAGAAGAAGAGGCAGCAGAATAGATTAGAATATAACACAAAATGAAAAGAACCTTAAGATGGCGACGCTAAGAAGCAAAATAACGGAAACTGGGTACTGTGGTGACCGGCGAATGAAGGTTACTCGTATCACGATGGAAGGTGAAAAGAAATAGTGAGAACAAGCTTTTTACCTGACACGACACGAAGAAGAGAGGAAAAGAACGTGAAACTTAACTGCATCATTCATCAAAAAATCCAATGAGACACTGTTCAATGCCCATGTGTACTATGCACGCAAACACCAATCAATGTCTTTCCATCTTGCGTGTATTTATGTTTTTTGTTTTTATATATACAGTTTCATGTGAGGAATAGAAAATAGAATGCGTTATAATATTTTTAACTTTATTTTCTTTGATGTTAAAAATAAAAAATGTATATTATTAATTAATAAAACTTAGATTAAATTATATTTTTATTTTTAAAATGTTAATTTTGGATCTTTATCTCTTAAATTTAGGTGAATTTAATTTTTTTAAATATTTTTTTTATTGATTTAAGACTTGAAACTTGTCTAATAAGATTTGTTTACATGAAAATCATTCAATGCAATTAAAATTCAAATCAAATATATTATAAACATGGTGAAAATAAAAAATTTCAAAAAATATTTATTTTTTATTATTTTCTAATTATTTATGAGATATATTATACAATTCTTTTTAAAATTTAGATATTAATTATATTTCATAATTTTTCTTATACGTGAATCTAATGCTATAATTTTTCTATTTTAAATCAATCAATTGATTCAAAATTATATTACAAATTAAAATTAATAATTATTTTAAAAAGATTAAATTCACTTTAGTATAAAAAATAAAAGACTAAAATGAACATTGTAATTGATAAAGGATCAAAAATAAATTTTTAAAAAATAAAATAAAGAATCAAAAGTATAATTTAATTAAAAAATTATATTAATTTTTTATATTTTTAATTGATGTAATTCTAATATATTAGTGACGTCCTATTTAATGATAATAGTGTAGAGACACGTGACATTTACGAGATATATATTATTTTTATATATTTTAAAATAAAATGTGTCTTTTTTATGATTTTGTTATTTATATGAAAAAATATAAAATGAAAAGGTAAAATTTTAGTTTATTTTATGTATTTATAGGATATTTTTTGAGAAAAATTGAATTTGTATCATATTACATATTTTGCTAGAAACTTATTTATAGTTTTGTTGAACTTGAAAATGAAAAATAAATAGTGAACACAATAATACTGTTTGTGCAAAGAACTGAATAATTTTCAGGCATAAAAGAGTATTATAATCTAAAAAATTACTATTAGATTTGTTTAAATATTGTTATTTTTATTTTTATGAATTAATCGATCTAAATCAGAAAAACTGTAAACATGGTAATCACATTTTTTTATATATAAATGATATATATAATATCGTGTTATAATTCAAGTTATACAAAATATTTTTTTATCAAATTTATTATTCAGTATATTTTATTTTATTCAAATATGCTAATTGTACATATTTAAATAATTACTTGTTTAACTAAATTTATAAATATATTAATTAAAGTTACCTTAATTGTTTTTATTCAGTATACCATAAAATAAAAAAAAAAAAAGAACAATGGTTTATATACCATAACAGTTAATTTTGATGAAATATATTATTATTAATATTAATTAATTATTTCATAATTTTATTCATTTAATTCTAATCAAATTACAAAAAAAAAAATACTAATCAAAATTATCTTAATCATATAATTATTATAATAAAAGAAATATAAATAATAATGATTTGCATACTATAATATTAACTGTTTTTTTTTATTAAATTTATTCATTATACTATAAATATTTGAATTTTTATAAACGTGACACATGTCATTTGAATTTCTGTAAATATGATACGTAGATTCACAATTGTGTTATTATATGATATGATATAATTTCATGTGATCTATTCATTTCATTATTTTTTTCATAAATAAAAATAATAAATATTTTAAATAGTTATTATAAAAATTAATTAAAATATTAAAAACAATAATGTATAATTTGTGGGTTATAATATAATTTTCTTAAAACTAGTAGGGTAATTTAATTAAATTCTACTTTTAATATATTTTAATAAAAAAAATCTGTCACACATTACATTTTAACAATTTTTTTTATTTCTCTGTTATTTTTATAAAATTTTATGCAAATTGCAAAAGTACTAACTATAATGTAACATTTCTCGATCACAAACAGTTCCTAGGACGTGGACCACATAACATTAGGTCGTGGAAATGCAGACCATGTTTAACATGACGTGTCATAGTAATCAACGATACCAGTACTTTTAATTTTTAAAATTTTTAATGCCTGTTTTGAGTGAAAATAATATAACAAAACAAAAAACAAAGAAAGAAAAATATAAATCTGTTTTGCACAACTATTCTCATTTATTAAAAAAAAAATTAGTAGATTTTCAACTGCACCTTTAATCTTATTACAATAAGAGTGTGTTTGATAAAATAAAAATTTATGAACTTTTTGACTGGTTTATATTAGTATACATTTTATTTAATATTATTTTTAAGATATAATAGGTATCTTTGTCCAAGTCTTTATAGTTTATCATGGCATTAGGAGCATGATCTAATTCAAACATGGAGAATAAAATACCTCAAACAATGGACCAAAGCCTTTCACTATCACCCCATCATCACCTTATCATCTAAATCCATTGGATAACCCAGACACATCATTGGTAGTTGTACCTCTCATTGGAGCAAACTATCGTAACTGGTTAAGATCGGTGAAAACTGGTTTGTGTGCGAGACCAAGTTGGGTTTTGTGAATGGGGCGCAATCAAGAAGCTGTTGTAATCGTTACCAGAATCTCATGCTTTGGAGAAAGCTGACTCCATGGTCATCGCATAGATCATCAGCTTAATAGATCCCTCATTACATGGTAGAATATCACATGTTGCAACAACAAGAGATGTTTGACTTGACTTGGAACAAAGATTTGCTTAAACCAACGCACCATGCATTCATCAATTTTGGAAAACTCCGAGTTTGATTCAACAAGAACCCAACATGACCCGTAAATGAATATTATAGCAAATTCAAGAGCCTCAAAGATGAGCTTAGTGAACAACAACCATTATCGGATTGCATGCGTGAAGCTAGAAGCAACTTTTACAAAGGGAAGAAGACAATCATGTTCATCTCTTTCTTGGTGGTCTTGATGGAGATCTCTTTGTTCACATCAAGGGAACCATTCTTAACACAGATCCTCTGCCATCGCTTAGGAAAGTGTTTAACCACATATTGAGGGAAGAAAGCAAGAAACATGTTCAGTCTTTCATTCTTTTAAACAGGAAAACCAAGGATGAACCAAGAGTAAGATGCAACCATTGTGGGAAACTTGGACATGATAAGTCTAGGTGCTTTGAAATAATTGGTTACCCTTCTCATTGGGACACTCGTAGAACCAAGAAAGTTGGCAACAAACCCAACGAAAACTCAATAGGAAGTGCCAAATTTGCTTGGGCAAAAGGAAATCAAAGCAACACCACAAGCCAAGAGCACGCAAACCATGCTTCACAAGGAAAGAAGAGCAACAAATGAGTAAAGGGTAGCAACTCTTATAGTAATTACAAGTGGATCTTGGATAGTGGAGCATCACATCGTATGACTCCATTATACCCGGTTCTAAGAGATTGCACAAATTGGCTCAGCCACTATAGATTGCCATACCCACTAGAAACATTGTCATGGTTCACGAAGCTGGGATAGTATTTCTCAGTGTGGAAATAAAATTACATGATGTTTTGCTTGTACCCGAATTTAATTGCAATCTTTTATCTGTTCACAAACTCACTTGTGACTTAAATTGTATAGCCAGTTACTCTGCTGATGATTGTGATATACAGGACCAAACAATGAAGAGGAAGATTGGATCCAATGACTTGCATGAGGGGTCTTATGTACTTAAGGTCAAAGCAAGTGGCTTCTCATCATCAGCAATGTCAGAGGATTTTAATGTCACTTGGCATGCTAGGATGGGGTATACTTGTAATCAAAATTTGTCCAAGCTTTCACATGTTCTTAACACTCATTTTGATAACAATAAGATAGAATGTTGTGATGTATGTCATCATAATGCAGACCCTCTTTTCCATTGAGCAGTAATAAAGCAGAAAAATCCTTTGATTTAATTCATTGTGATCTTTGGGGAAGATATGCTACTATATCACATAATAGTGCTTACCATTTCTTTAAAATATTGGATCACTATTCTAGGGTTTTGTGGGTATACCTTTTAAAGGAAAAGTCATAAATTATCACTTAATTAAATTTTGTAAAATGCTACAAATCCAATTTGATGTTAAGGTGAAAGTCATTTGCATAGATAATGGAACAAAATTTGTAAATTCAAAAATGCGACTTTTCTTAAATGAATAAGAAATTGTTCATGAAACATCATGCATAAGAACCCCTCAACAAAATGGCCATGTTGAAAGGAAGCATAAACATATATTTGAAGTTGCAAGTGCCTTAAGGTTTCAAGTTAATTTACCTTGATCTTTCTTGGGAGGGTGTGTACTAACTGTCATCTATTTAATCAATAGAGTATAGAGCTTTCCTTTATGACCATCATGTCTCATACTGAGCCTAAAAACTATATAGAAGTTGCACAACAACTTGAATGGCGCAAAGCTATGGAGTAAGAAACACAAGCTTTAAGGGAAGCTACTAAATGAGTATCACGATATTTGAAGACCTCTTCCAAGTCAAGGCTTTTTTTTTTTCTTTGCCTTATTGGCTACGGTGATTTAGACTGGACAACTTGTTCTATAACTTGATGTTTAGTCTCTGGTTATGTCATGAAACTTGGACCTACTTCAATCTCGTGGAAGACAAAGAAATAATTGATTGTATCTCGATCCTCTAGTGAAGTAAAATATTGTATTATGACACATGCAGCTAGCAAAATCATTTGGTTGCGCAACCTCCTTTCTCATTACCATTTTGTTCGAGAACATATATAATCATGCACCATTCTTATCTCTTACATACCATCTTAACAACAACAAACAAATATATTTGCTAAAGCACTAAGATCTATGCAATTTTATACTTTATTTAGCAAATTGGGAGTTCATAATCCTCACTCTCCAACTTGAGAGGAGGTATTAGGATATATTTTATTCAGAATTATTTATAGGATATAATTTTTCGTATAAGATATTCTTTCTTATTATCTCATAACAATTTTTATTATCTGTTATGAGAAAATATAACAATTTAGTTTTATTTTTTAGTCAGTTAAATTTTAGTTATATATCATAACTCTTTAATTGTTTATTTTACGAATGCAACAACAAATTTTTATAAGTATCTTTCTCCAAGTCTTTATAGTTTATAAATTAGTTTGACTAATATGAGTTTTATTAGTATAAAAACTTATTTTTATAAACTAATTTAAATAATTTATAACTTATAAAATCTTAGTTTTTTTTCTCTTTTTTTCTATCTTCATTAATTTACTCAAAAAATTTCGCGTCATACAATTAGATGATTTCTTGGTGTGATCTCACCATTCAAAACACCTGAAGAAGAATCAACACGATGACATGGCTCTTCTCAAATATATGTGCAAATGTTTGATAAACTATGTCATGTAAATATATAATTTTCAGCATAACGGATTTTAAAAAGAAAGCAGACTCATTATTGGTGGCATTACGGGGTTAAGTCAACCTATATGCTTTATTTGGACTACATGAAAACCATGGAATAAAAAGGAGAGAAAGGAATGCACATTTAAAAAAAACATCTTTTGATACATATTAACACAAGGGAGGAAAAAGAAAAAGAAAAAGCTGCAAGTCTCGGTCAAAATTTACTCCTTCCAATTTGAAAACACTTTGTAAAAACACCAAACCCTGTCTCTCTTTTCTCTTGTTAGGGTCTGTGGAGATAAAAATTGAGGAGTCAATGATCAATCTCGTCAAATTGTTAACAAATATCATTTTTCTCCTCTGTTTTTGATTCATTTTACAAGTATAACTAATCTCTAGGTTGGGAAAAGATGAATCTCTATTCAATGCTCGTAAGATTTAATTTGTTGCATCTCAATTCATGTTTTTACCATTCAATGAAGTGATTCTTCGGTTCTTAATGCTCATGGATTTGTCACTTAGGAATTAACATCAGATTTAATCTCTCAATTGGAAAATTGGTTTTTAAGTTGGATCTTGGAGAATTTAATTATAGTTGTTGAGATCCTAGAGATGGGACTTAAGATTTGTCAGATCTAATAAAATTCTCATGCTCAATGCTTGTTTAGGTTGAAAACACTTAAGAAACTAAGATTCTTGGTTAGCATAAAGGGGTTAGAAGTCAGGGTATTGGATTTAGTCTAGAACTAAAATATTGTAAGCATAATTGAATTGCTTGAGAGGAAATAGAAAAGAATCTAATCCCATTATCAGCAATTGTTGTTATTCTAACTGTGATCTTTCTGATTGATTGTGTTTTTGTGCTCTGTTTACACTATTATTTTGTTTTTTTCTTGAGAATCATTCAATATAATATATCCCTTCTACCTAATTATTAGTTCAAAATAGTGATAAAAATTTTTGATTAGGTACTTGGATCCAATCCTCGACCGAACAACACTTTATCTACTTCTACTACTAAGGCCTAATGCACATTCAAAGGTTTTCCTATCAAGGATATACTTTGACTTTGTTGCATCGTGGGAGACCACTAGCAAGCACCTTGGTCGTATAAATTAGAATAATTATCTACTCTCAAATCTCAACATTGCCATTTATCCAAATTGGGAACAATGGCTGTAAAAAAGAAAGGGTAATCAACCATTAGAATTGTGTCGTGTCTCAACCTTAACTGTTGAATGATGGCCAATGATGCAGATTTTCTCAAACTTCACCCAGGTGCACCTTCTCTTATCAGCACCAAATCCAAATCCGTTCTTAACTCGTTAAGATAGCATTAAAAATTTACATAATCACATTAATTGACTATTAATGTTAGACGACAATAAGTCCAAGACCTCTTGATGATTTTTTTGGTTTCACTTTAGAGTTGGTAGACAATGTAATTTATTACAGTACATAAAATTTAAATTATTTTCAGAACAATGTAATAATGGAATTAATCAACAATTTAAAAATACACATTCTAATCACTAGCTTTGGCTTACTGCATCATGATAGAAAGAAAGCGTGTTTTGGCTGGGAGAAAGAAGTGGTTAAGCAGCCCCTTTCTTCACTTTGAGGGCCCATCCTGAATTCCCTTTTGAGATGATTGAGATAGAAAATGAATTTAGAAAAGGACCAATTCAGTTGCGATGCCAGAAATTCACAAAGTCTCACTGACTGTGATGACTTGGAAAGTCTGAGTGCAACCCAGCTCACTGCCACATGGTAAAGAACCCACTATAGCTGTAGCCTATGGCCTTGTCAAATGCGTCAATCAAGGAACCTAATCAAAATCCATTGCAGCAATTGGCCTTGATCATTGTAACCACGAAACCCTTGTGTTCTCATCATTAAAAGGACGCAAAGAACTAGACTTTTTCCAACATCCATCTCACCCCTCCAAAACATCCATAAAATTAAACATAAGGCCAAGCAAAGTCTCTATAATCAAACATTCATCACATGGTTAGAGAAACACGAAGGAAGTGAACAACAAAATAAACAACATGATCGCAGGTTGTTTCAATTTCAGCCAACCCAACACACCATCATCAAGCTCCTACTGCTCTCAAACTCAATCTCAAGTGCCTCAAAATGTGGTAACATGCACATACCAAACTCAACTTTGCAACTCCCCCACTTATCTCACCCTAAGTTGGTCCAAAACCCTCTTCTCCCACTCTTTAACCATTTCCGCCACAGACATCTTTTCCATCACAATTTCTTTAAACTCATCAACCTTCTTCTTTCGAACACGCCACGGCTCAAAAACCATCCACCACCGCAAACTCAAGCTCCACTGGAACTTCACCCGCGCTGAGTTCATTCAAAACTCCGCTGAGCCAGAATCACGCTTCTACCTCGCAATATCCCACAAAGGCAAGCTCCAGTTCTTTCTGGGCGACCTTTTCCACGTGTTCTCTCCTCATCACCACCAGCAGGACTGTCCTGAGACAGTCCTGCTGTCGAGGAGAGAACACGTGTTCGGAAGCAGGAGCTACGTGTCACGTGCTGTGTTCATGGGAACGAAGCACGTGATAGAGATTGAGTGCAGCGGGGGCATACTCGGCGTGAAAGTTGACGGCGAGATGAGGTTGGTGGTGAAGAGGCTAGCGTGGAAGTTCAGAGGGTACGAGAAGATATTCATCGACGGCGTGGAAGTGGAGTTCTACTGGGACGTGTTGAGTTGGGTGGCTAACAGCGAAAACGGAAACGGACACGGCGTTTTCGTCTTCCAAGTTGGCGACGGAACGGTGTGGCCAGAAATGGTGGGTGCGGAGAAGAAGTTGATGAAGAAGAGCGTGTCGGGTTCTAGCGTGTTGCAGTGGGCAGAGGAGAGTAGCGAGTGTGGGAGAACTTCGTCTTCTTCGTCGACAAGGTCTTGTGGCAGCAATGCCACTGGATTCTCTTTGTTGCTCTATGCTTGGAGAGCTTAAATTGAATTGATTCATTTCATTTCTTCTTTCTTAATGTTAATTCTTTCTATGCTGCGGAAACGGGATTATTTTCAACTTTGAGATTGGATTGCAAATATTTTGTTCATATGTATATTCATCTTTCTTTCATGATCTTGTACAATCATTACTTTGATTCAGAAATAAACGTATACTTTGATTTGAAGCTTATGTGCTATGTCTAAACATGTTTCTCTTCTCATATCGTATATTGTTATGTCAAAAAGTGTTTGTTGTTTTCTTAATTATCACTGTTGGCTTCAAGTATATATTTCGTTAACAAAGCATATTTAGAGACCGAAGAAAAATACAAGATTTTAATATATCTGATTTCTTTTTATTTATAGAATTACAATATCTATCTTTAAGTAAATACGTCAAAAAATGGTAATGAAGAAAAAGTTCTGTTCAAATATTGAAAAGGAGAGAATTCATTTTTAAAAGAAATTGATGAAAATCATTTTCAAAAGATGAATGTATTACTTCAAAACAAAATAGGACAATGCGTTAAACTAATATAAAAACAATATGTTCATGATTTTAGTATGGTTATTGCACATTTGTCGCCATGATTTCAAAATAATTTTCCTCAAGACAAGCTTTAGCATAATACGCTCTTGATTCGCTAACAGAGGGCTATTGAAAATAATTAATTTACAAGAAATGTGAAAGTCTGGTAAGCGATAATCAGATCTAGCCATGTTGACATAAATTATGATGCAAACATATGGTTCGGACGGATTTCATGATTGCACTTTTATATCATTAGGCTGCAATGGATTTGCCTTTTGAAACATATATATATATATATATATATATGCTACT